AAGGGGTGGGTGAGGAGAGAAGTGCTGGGCCCTTCCCTGGTGGTGGTAAGGAAGGGACAGCAGGTACCTGAATGGTCTGCAGAACTGGGTGACACAGCCTCCCTGACTGGCACAGGGCAGGTGGAAGCTCAGGTCACAGTGTCTTCTGCAGCAGGAAATGGTGGCCCCTCTCTGGCCACAGATGCAGCAGCTCTGGTAAGAGCAGAGCAGCCCCATCAGCAGCAGCCTCAGGGCCTCCTCCTTCTCCCAGAGCTGCTTGAAAGGGCTGGGCTTTCTTGCTTGGGTCCGGGTTAAGCTCCAGCAAACTCTGCCTGGCACAAATCTCCCTGCTCTTGTCAGGCTCTCACCTTCTGTGCCACCGAGGAAACTACGTCTAGGATATCCCTTGGGAGAAAGCCAAAGAGTCCTACTTGACCATCATTGTGCTGAGGAAGGTGGCTGGCAAAAAACTGTAGAAAAAATGAGACTCACAAATGAGGAGAGAGTGGCAGGGACTGCCTGTCAAAAAGTGGAGGGAGTCCACAGAGCAACTCACCAGGCAGAACTCGTGGACACAGAGCTCATTTATCTGAAGTTTTTCTCCCCACAGATGTCCGGGTCGGCCTCTGAAGGCTGACACAGCAGGCATGCTGGAGGGAGAGAGACAATGGCCCCGGGCATGGCACCTGTACTGCCCGTCCTGACAGCCCCTCTGCCAGGCTGCGGGAGGGGCACTTTGGTCTCACCTGACTCTCTCCCTTTGGGGGCTGCTCCTCCCTGTGTGACATGGGACGTGTCAGCGGTGGGTCCCTGTCTCACCGTCCCACCGGTGAGTGCTCCTGGCAGCACCTGGTGCTCTAACACGGCTCCTGCCATGGCGACTTCTGGATCTGCTGGATGAGTTCGGCGTCTGACGCTGCTGGTGGGAGTGGTGTTGCCTTTGGGAAGTCCTGGCTGCTGTCTCCCTTGGGTTTCGCCTCCCAGCACTCGGTGCTGGCGTGCAGGTCCTGCCATGGGGACTTCTGGACCGGCCGGATGGATCTGGGGTGTGACGTTGTCGCCGAGAGCGGTTTTGCCTGCGGGATGTCCCTGATGGTCTCTGGCTGGGCCTGCGCCTCCCAGGACTTGGTGCTGGCACA